TTTTTTTAATTAGGTCTTTTTTTCATCAATTTTAAAATATGTACAATTTTAAAATTTTGTGCATTGGTTCCTTCAATGCAGAAATTTAAAAAAAATAATATTTAGTGTCAATGTTTGATTGTCACACTGAACTTGATAATTGATACAAGATTATTGAAGCCATTGTTAAATCAGTTAAGTAATTCATGCAAGGTATTTTAAAACTTTTGTACTTGTACAATACCCCCTTCACAATAGTTTCTATTACAAATACCAGCCAGAAATTCGTTACTCTCCTTCAAACAGTGCCTCAGAGGAAAACCTTGGAAACCTACCAAAGATTTCTGGTGGCCTTACTTGTCCTTTAGTCTTCTTTGTTCCATGTATGTTCATATTTGTGCCAAACACTTGTCAAGTAGCCAGTTTCAGTCTGCTACAACAAATAAAAAACAATAATGGTGGAAACAAAATGAATAGTTAACATTCTGAATGGTGTCCATAATAAACAGCTGTGAAACTGAATTATGAAAGTAGACTGTACCCTGGAGGCATATTCTGGATGCGAATATACCCTTCTATTTTACAAAATTAGATGCAGTCCTTGGGAAAACTTCCTAAAGACCACTGCTTTACACCAATTATCATCAGCTATCTCTCTAGAAGGCACAGTAGCTGAGTTGTTCCTTCTCAAATACATGTTTTCCTTTTAACCCAATGTGTTTGTCTGCAGGCCTGTTGGTGTTATGTGGTGATAGATGCCACAGAAACATTTGTTTTTTGGACTAATTGGATGGCTTCAGTTTTCAGAGATGTCAGCTTGACAATTTTTACAAGTTTTAAGTTCAAGTGAAATAAAATTTCTGGAATTAAAGCTCTACACCAGAAAAACTAGACAATAATTAGCTTTAAAGTTTTGAAGAGTTGATACTAAATTATGAGCACAGCTTAGTGGCACCTCTTAAAAAGCAGGGCCACCCACACCACACCCCTTTCAGGATCAGACATTTAAATAAAGACAGAAAAAGTCAAAATGCGGATAACTCAGTATCTTTTTGTTCTTTTTTCCCCACCTACTTCCTCACTACTTTTTTTTCTTGATTGCTTGTCTTTAGGACACTGTAAACTGACTCAGAATAAATACAGGCTTTTTAGCATCAGTCACAGAGAGTTAACAAATTATATTACCTACGAGATTTGAATCAAAGTTGAAGAAATGTTTAGTGATGAAGACTGGTTAGAAGCAAATATTTTTAAACAAAAATAGAAGCTGGGAAAATGGTAACTGAAGGTACAAAATACTTTTATGTTCAAAATTTTGCATAAAGATTTAAGAATTTGATTTCTGGAAAAAAAATGTTCATTATGATATTGGTTGTTTAATATAAATGCACTGTTTTGGAAGATCACACTTGTTTTTTACTCTTTGAGAGTGAAGATTTATTTATTTATTTATTTATTTATTATTTAAATATGTCTTTAATGACTTCAGAGAGAGGAAGGGAGAAGGAGAGAGAGATATAAAAACATTAGGGATGAAAGAGTCATTGGTCGGCTGCCTCCTGCACGCCCCCAACTGGGGAGCGAGCCCACAATCCGGGCACATGCCAGGACTGGGAATTGAACCACGATCTTCTGGATCCTAGGTCGATGCTCAACCTCTGAGCCAGGCCGGGCTGGGCAAGAGTGAATATTTTTTTAAATGCAAAACCTTTTTAAAATAATAATTTTGAAAAACTAAAAATAGAAAACACATTTTTTACTTTAATTTTGATAATAATCTGATTTTGCTATATTGATTATAAGAGGTATTATCCATAACCTGACCTGCATGATTTGCAGAGGAAAGCAAAGGAATTTCTTAAAGGCATACAGCATGCAAACAACAGAATTGATTCTTAAAAACAAAAAATGAAGAAAAAGAGGTACCTCGTGGGTTGCTGATTATCCAGGGGAACGGCTAACACTGTGTGTGTGTGTGTTGGGGCGAGGGCGGGGGTTGATTTCTAGAGCTAGGATTTAAAACTAAATTTAATCAAAGTCATGTCTTTAAGATTTTAGCCAGGGTCTCGGGTTAACTTTTCTAGGCCCTGCTGAGCAAACTGAAGAAAGTCCTGCTTATTCAGATCCCAGGCACCTGCGTTCCTTCAGGCAGGAACTACATGAACTCATCATCTATTCATTGCTAGCTTGTGCCAGGCTCACGGAGTACGAACGTCTCACTGGAGCCTTCAAGTGCCCGTGCTCCTGCTCACCATGGTTCTCCCTCCTGCCAGCCTTTCAGTTGTCCCATTCTTTCTTTTCCATAAACTCTCCAGCCTGTGCAGAGCTGCTCTCCAGTCTGCCTGTCCTCTGGAGAGCTAAGGGTAAAAGAACAAGATTTGCAGCATTGGTCTTGTACTTTGTTCTCACTCTCAAGTTCTCCAATTTGGACATAATCTTTTCAAAATTCACCACTTTTTTGTTTTTAAGTATTTCCTTTATAATGAAAAAGAGGTGTTATCCTCCCATATGTTAATAAATTTGTTGTTCATTAAGTGGTAACCTACCTAATTGTACTGAAAGGTAAACTAGATATTCTAAGCAGGAATGGTACATTCCTGGAACTGATTATCTGGAAATAAAACTACTGGTGAAATGGTAAATGACTGTGTGCATCTGTTAAATGGGTGTTAATATCCCTTTCAACTACATGCTTGAAAATCTTCTTGTATAAAATCTTATAAATTCTTATAAGGTAAGGTGATGGCATATTGTTGGATAACAAGATGAAACCAAAGGTCCTTATGACTTTGATTAAATTTAGTTTTAAATCCTAGCTCTAGAGTATCACTCTGTCTATAGTATGTTCATATATACCACTCAGAGACCTAGCTGTTCCCCAGGATAATCAGCAGCCCCTGAAACAGCAGAAGACTCTAGTCTGAACCTGACTAATGGTCACACAGTTCAGATCTCTGACAGGCTGAAGATAACATCTTGACCTAAATTATGTTTCAGTTCCTGAGCCCTAAGTTGAAACAACGGCCCAGCTACTTTCCAATAAGATCCATACCAGTGGACACTGGAAAAGACCTCAGGACTGTCCTCAAAGCCTGAAGAAATGATTTATCACCCTTTCCTCACCTCTGACCAATCAGGTCTCAGCACAACCCAACCCCATAACCCATGATGCTTTGTGATTGTTGTCCTGTATAATCTGTAACCTACACTCCATGAAGGAGTAGAGTCTTCAGAGCATTATTAGCTCCCTGAATCTATATTGGCCAATTCAATATTAAACTATTTTTTTTTCTATACTGAAAAGTCCTGCTCCTGCATGTCTTTGGGCCAGTGCCTGTAGGCGGTGACCCAAGGAAAAACATTAGGGTTCCAGTAGCAATTATTGGTGCCCAACATGGGGTGGTCTCTGCCTGTGGGTTTGCTAGCTGCTAGCCCAGGTGGGCTCTCTAGGCCCTCTCCTAGCAGCTGCTGGGACCCATCTGGTCTGGAGGTGGGAACTGAAACAAGCTTCTTGTGTGCAGTAGGAGAAACCCAAAAGTTCCTCTTTGGTTTTGTTTTGGAGATGTCTACCGGAGAGTAACCTTTTGGATGATGATCCCAAAGACACCCCCATACTACTTTTGTTGGGTGCTTGAGGTACTAATTTAACTTGGTTTAGGGCTCCCCCTATTGGTTGTATTAGGGAGGTTACAATTAGCAACTAAGATTGACTACTAAAACTGTTATTTGTGGAGTCTCTGTTTAGTCTCCTGGGAAGGGGCGGGGGCCGTTACAACTGCATTTCAGCAGACTTTGAAGGAAGTTTAACCGCACCTAAGTCAAGGCACCGGTCTGCCTCATCTCCACCATATTAAGTGGACCTGGTGTTCGCTCCCCCTCTCCCCTCGCCCCCAGGGGATACTACTCAAAGTCAGAGCCTAGTGGGAAGTTTGGGCCACCCAGCCCTCCCACTTCTTATCTGTAGTATCTGACTTGTCGAGTTGTCATGGACAGACTTTACAATATAAGGCTTGAGAAATATATTTTTTGAAAGAATCGAGGACAGTAGTTTTCTCTTAAATAGGTTGGTAGACTCTGAATGAATAGTTAGGCATGAAACTAAGAGAGACTAAGGAAGTGGTAGAAGGTCTGTGGAAAGTCATTATGAGAAAAGGTATTGTCTTGGGGAACCTTATGTCTAACTTGGCCCCACAATGCAGCCCCGCTGGGATGCAACTTGCAAAACTGGGCCAAGTTCAACTGTGAACCAATGAAGAGAAAGAGAATGCTCGTCCTTTGCCAGGTGGCATGGCCACAATGTAATTTAAGATCAGGTGAACACTGACCAGAAAATGGGTCCTTAAATTATACTACCATCATGCAAGTTGAGTTATTTTGTAAAAGAGAGGAAAAATGGGATGAAATCCCCTATGCAGAAGCATTTACATTTTTATATCAGAATAAGTGTGTTCAAAGGAAATGTAAAATTATAAAAACAGGTAGCCTGGGTAGGCCAATTCTGCGCGAGATCCTGAGAATGAAGACTCATTCTTACTGCAGCTTAAGGACCTACAGTTGCCACTGCTCCACCACATTATGGTGGGAATGCAGCCACAGCTCCTCTCAGAACCTCCGCAGTAAAGGGGGTTCTACTGGACCTGGGAATGGTCTCCCCCCCACACCCAAAGGTGAACTAAATTTGGTCAGGAGGTTCCTCCAATCCAGCCAGGGCAATCCCCATTGAGACAAGCACCAAGAAGAGGACTTGATGCCCTTGATCATAGGCAGGAATGATCTGGATGAACACTCCCTTTATGACTTGAGACCTTTTTACTTGGAGAATAATATGCCTGGATTCCTACTGCTTACTTTCAGGATGGAACTTTTAAACTAAACTGAATGCCAAAATAACCTTTGTCCTTGACCATATGGCCACTAAGGTGCCACCAGATAAAGTTTGTGCCTTGCAGGCAGCTTTACTGACCTCAGTCTAGGGAGAAATTCCAGGTAGGGATCCCTATCGAGATCCTAAAAGAAAAGTAACTCCAGAGGCCAGGGCATAGAGCAAAGACTGCCCCCCAATCTAAGGACAATTGTGGGCAGGGGCAACTGTCCCCCACCTAAAATTCTAAAAGAACAAGCTAAGAGGGGAATCCAAACATTGGTGGCAGCATTCTTAGAATCCCAGTTTATTCAGCCTTGTCATTTACTATATAACACACTCATCTTACTGGTGCAGAAATTAGGCATTAATGAATACCTGTTTGTCCAGGACTAGTGAAATTGAGGGTCCTTATGACTTTGATTAAATTTAGTTTTAACTCTTAGCTCTGGAAATCATATCGCTTTCTCTATATTCACACCCTCAGAGACCTAGCCTTTCTCCGGATAACCAGCCACCCCTGAGGCAGCAGAAGACAGAAGCCTGGACCTGACTAATGGTGAAACGAA